GATGACCCTCACTCTGTCAAGGACCTTGGAGTACTCGTAACAAATGATTTAAGTGCTAGAGCTCATTGTGACAGCATCGTCAAAAAGGCATTAAGAGTTTTTAACCTAATTTTACAAAGCTTCTTCTCTGGTAATATCGTATTGCTAACTAGGGATACAAAACCTTTGCCAGACCAATTCTCGAATACACATCATATGTCTGATATCCACACTTTATATCGGACATTAATCCAATTGAGTGAGTCCAGAAATATTTCATGAGAAGAGTACTACATTCCTCTGCTCGCAACATAATACCCTACACCACCAGGCTTGAAATTTTGGACTTGGACAAGCCAGAACTACACCGCCTATGGTCAGACTTAAGCATAGTACACAAAATTATCCACTACAACGTCTTACTGGTCAATGACTACTTCAGCATCAACCACAATAATACAAGAGCACGTTTAACCTTAGACTGTCTACTATTGACCTCACTCCATTCCTAAGAGGACTGTAAGGGGCGTGCATAAGCGCACCATCGTGCCTACCATTCCTGTGCTACTGTCCCCATTTATTCGTACCCATTTCATTCATACTCATGTTTATTCTTATACCTATTACCTTGTAAACGACTGGAAAATCAAAGAAATAAAAATAAATAGAATGCCTCCAACTTGGATACATTGAGAAGCTGTTAAAGTCCAGGTGATTCTTCCCAGCAATGAGGTGGAATGACCACCCCCCTCAAAAAAAAATTAGATGGATTTGTTTCTTTGTTTCTGGGGCTGTTTTTGATTCTTTCCCTCACAATTTCTTTGTTTTGATTGTAATCCAACAGGCGTCACATAGCCTATGAATCAATCAATCAATCAACTGACCTATCAATAGAATAGCAGTAATATTTTTATTTTAAACAAAGATTGTTAGGTTCATGGCATGAATTTAATATTTGATCTTAATCTTAATCTGAACATAATCTTTGAACTCTCTTTTCACTATGTATTCATTTTGAATGAATGGACAAAATGGACAGTGATACATACAGTACGGATGTACATACTACATATATACATGTCTCTCTGTGTGTGCAGGTGTATATTTATGCATATCTATAGCATATGTACAATATATGTGTGTTATGTATGTATATGGGTAGATGTATATTTTCTCGTGAGAGAAGGTAACAGCATTTCACAGGATTTCATTTTTAATGTGGGGCAGTGTGTTCACAGTAAAAAAATGACAATAAAGGTTATCTTCTCTATCATATCTTATCTTATCTTGAATCCAAATCAGAGACATTCACAAATCCCATGAATGACTAGGTTCTCAACTGGAATTCTTTCCTCCCAGCAGCATACATTATGGTGCAAAATCGTCTATCTGGATTTATCTAATCTCGGATGCAGAGATAAATACAGCATCCCACTCTGTTTAGCCGATGTTGCCCAGTGTCTAAAAAATCTCAGGGGTGAGATGGAGAGAAAGGTAATTCTGTCCCTCTGTTTCCAGATTCTAGCTTTGCTCAACAGATGGAAAGAAAAGTGGGTGGAGGTAAATATCTTGGTTGGGTATTGACGGCATCTCAAACTGATCTTCATTACATGCAGTGGTCAATAGGGACTCCAAGGTAGAATCAAAAAATAAATTAGCAAAAGGAGCAGATCGAGGGAAGAGGAACATTTATTTTTGGAGGTGTAGAGATTCTTTGGAAAAAGAGTCACTCTAATGCAGTGCAGGAAGATTGACTTACTGTGAGAATTCTGTTGAGGGACTTCTATCAAAGCTTAATGGTTGAAACCTGGCCTGCATTGAAGATATTATGCCACTAATCATATAATCTCCTGACTTGTAATAAGTCTGTGTCTCCTCATCATTTTCCTCCAGAGTCATGAGGCATTTGGCTTTGTGTATCTGACAGGTTCTCCTTGGCCACAAAATGATGACTAGTAGAAGTGTCAGCGATATGACTTGCATTCCTGTTTGAGCCTTCTCTGTCATGGCTGCTTTTTAACAAAGAACGAGAGAAAGCTGTGGCAAAAACCTCAAACTCTTCCTTAGCAGAAGCTTCAGATCCACTCAAGAGAAGGAAACACAACCCCTGCCTGTCTTAAAACCAATCTCCAGATGCTCCTTACGCATCCAGCATTTCTGATGTAGACTCCACACAAAATTGCCTTTGTGTCAGATATGGACCTCAAAGTATTTTCTGGCATGTTTGACTTTTATTTTCTCAATGTTTGCAGAAATGTCTCTAGGGATGTAATATAAAGTCAACAAATAAATCACTAAGATTTGGATAATTGCATGGAAAAGAACCACCAGCTAGCAGAATGTTGAACTGGCCAGCAGTCAGGTGCTCAAAGGGGGAACTCACAGATACGACTCCAAACTTTGAATATGGGCCATGAGGGAGACTGAAGAATTAGGTCCCAAATCTTTTCAGTGGAATTCCTTTTGAAAACTTTTATCAAGGCCATGAAGCGTGACAATCAGAGGTGGGTCCCTACCAGTTTGGACCGGTTTGGCAGAGTAGGTAGTAACTCGGCCAGCCACGCCTCCGAACCAGTTCTATCTATGGTGCTACCATCTTGTTTTTTGCTTCTGTGCAAAAGCAATTTTTTTTACTACTGGGCATGTTCCTGAGTGAACCGGCAGTAACAGAAGACAGAACCCACTCTGCTGAATACTACCTCTGGCTCAGTAGGAGTCCTTTTCACCCCATCCAGTCCCAACAGCTTCCAGACACAGGGATAAGATGTCCATGGCATCACTCAAGGGGTCTGGGCTAGAGATATAAGGCCACATGACATCTGCATATTGATGATATCTCCCCTCAAACTGATGGATCACTTCACCCAGCGGTCTCATGTAAATGTTAAATAGAAAAAGAGAATTCACCAAACTCTGAAGCACTACACAAATTAGGGGATGCTGGGTGGATCTCTCTCATTCTATCAGTGCCAAATGGAACTGATTCTGAAGAAAGGAAGAGAACAATTGAAACCAGAACTTTTTTCTTTTAGAATTGAGGAAGAAACAGTTAGAAAAAAAACATGGAAGATTATTTCATTCTATGATTATCTTGGCAAGGTCACTATAGGTGCAAAGATGAAAAGATTGGGCAGCATCTACCATAGAAGAATGGTTGGTGAAATTGACAGAAGCAGTAGCACTTAAACTTGTACACTGCCATACAATGCTTTACAGCCCTCTCAAAGTGGATTACAGACTCAACATATTGAGCCCCATCAATATGGGTCCTCATTTTATTGACCTCGGAAGCAATAGCAATGTCACGGTTCCAAATAGCATCCAAAATTAAATCAGAGTCTAAGGCAAAGTATTGCTCAAAGTTCCAATTTATTAAGAGAGTCATGTTGGCACATCTGGGGAAACCCAAATCTGAAAGCTTCTCTGTTTTTCCCACCCAATTGAAAGTTCATGATCTTGCCCCAACCCCCACAAGCCCATCACATGATCCAATCTTCCACTGCCATGCTGGCAGTCCCACTCAACCAGCTCCAGTCAGGTGCAGAGGTGTAGAGACAAAGGATGACCTTGACATTCTAGAAAGGAATTTTATTTTGGCTACATAGCATTCAACCCCATACCATACCCCCTCCCATTTCCCCACAATAGAAACAGCATAGTAGAATAATAGAAAGTGTGGCAGGCCAAAGTTCCAAAAGGAATATGGCTGCAGGCCTGACAAGCAACAGCACTTAGACTTATATTCTACTTCACCAGGCTTTATAGCTCTCTCTAAATGGTTTCCGGAGTCATCCTATTGCTCCCATCAATCTGGGTCCTCCTTTTACTGACCTTGGAAGGCTGGAAGACTGAGTCAACTTTGAGGCTATCAGGATCGAACTACCAACAGTGGGCAGAGTCAGCCTGCAATACTGCATTCTAACTGTGCCATTACAGCTCTTATCATAACTCCTATTTTACTTCAGAATTACTAAATGCTATTCTGTAAAAACAGATATCTAAAATTCATTTTATATTTAATTTCAACATCACATGTTCTTTTGTATTTAGATCTGGTCTGAGAATAATGATATAGCACTTGGGGATGAAGATGCAGGCCAACAGGCCAGCACTGGAAGCCAAGATGGAGAAGACCTGTACAGCCACCATATACTTCCCCTTGGTGCTCAGGTAGGCGGGCACGAAGGACACCCAAACACTACAAAAGACCAGCATGCTGAAGGTGATCAGCTTGGCTTCATTGAAAACCCCAGGTAGATTCCTGGCCAGGAAAGCCACTGTGAAGCAAACAATGGCCAGAAAACCCATGTAGCCAAGGGCAGAGTAGAACATGGTGACACTGCCTTCATTGCACTGTAGGATGATCTCTCTAGGTTGGGAGTGCATGTCAGTGTCAGGAAAAGGAGGAAAGATGCTCAACCAGATGGTGCAGATGACAACTTGGACCGCAGAGCAAAAAAGGATGATAGAGTTGGCAAAACCCTTCCCCAGCCATCTCTGCATCTTATTCCCTGGTTTTGTAGCTAAGAAAGCCAAAACCACTGTGATTGTTTTGGCCAAGATGGAAGAAATGGCTATTGAGAAAATAATACTGAAGGCTGTTTGTCGGAGAAGGCAGGTCACTCTCCTTGGCTGGCCAATGAAGAGGAAGGTGGTCAAGATAGAAAGCAAGAGGGAGACCAAGAGGATGTAGGAGAGGTCCCGGTTGTTGGCTTTGACAATTGGTGTTTCCAGGAATTTAATGAAGATCCACAAGACAAAGCTTGTAGTTAAAGAAAGGAACAAGGCAATGGAAGTCAGGGTGATCCCCACATTTCCTTTATAAGACAGATAGTTTATAATCTTGGGAATACAGTGGTCCCGATTGCTGTTTGGATGTTGATCTTCTGGACATTTGGTACATTTTTCTGTATCTGAAAAAGAGGAAGAGTAGAATCTACCATATAGCTTGTCTTTGATCAAATGCATTGCATGGGTGAAATTATTGTTGGTGAGGATGATTATATATGAATGACACCAGTGTGTTTCTTCATTTTTCTGCAGCTAACAGTTCTTAATGTTGCCTTTCTTTTTTAATATTACATTTTTCAGTTAACCTGTTGAGAGTGTGGAAGAAAGGTAGGGAGGAAGGAAGAACCCAAGGAAGATGAAAGGGCCACAACTTTAGTTTTACACTGCTGAGTCTGTTGAAACTTGAAGTCAATCCATTGTCAGTGCTTCATAGATAGAAAGAAAACCTTTCCTTCAGTGGAGTAAAATAATTCTGACAGCAGACGTGTAAAAATGCTACCTTTCCCCAGAAGCAAGAAATATCAGATGGAGGAGCCCTTTAGGAAGAATTGGCTGTGGAGGGAGGACATAAAATGCATTTCTCTATTTTGTATAGACTAGGTGATGGCAACCTGCAGCCCTAGAACTGCATGTGGCTCTTTGACCACTCTTCTGTGGCTCCCTGGTGACCTGGTCACATGACCTGCTCTCCATCCTGAGAAGGCGTGATCATCTCTGCAGAGCCACGTGGCTGAAGCGCCCCAAAGCATTTTCTCTGCACTGCCCGTGATTGGCTGCCTTTTGCAATTCAGTGTCATTCGTGAGCAGTTCAGCACCAGCCACAATTCATTTCGTGTTGTCTCAGAAAGGAGAGAAATGGGGAGGAGCACAGCTGCCATTGCTGAATGGAGGGAGGGAAGAGCTCCGGCTCTCCTGCGCAGTGGTGGCAGCGGGAGGAGGAGTCGCTGCCCCCCTGCCACCATGATCCTGGCCCAGGAGATGAGAGAGAGAGAGAGAGAGAGAGAGAGAGAGAGAGAGAGAGAGAGAGAGAGAG